CACGCACGCACGCACGCACGCACGCACGCACGCACACACATACACACACACGCACACGCACACACGCACACACGCACACGCACACACACAATTTATGTTTTACCTTTCATCCAAAAGTATTATTATATTTAAGGCTATATTGTAAGGCCTTCGCGCAACGGAGACGGTTCCGAGTTGGGTTATGTATCACACACAGACCCACATGGGAAATTACCTGTATGGCTTGTTAATAAAGTCACACAAATATTTGCTCCTAAAGTAAGATATTACAATGAAATATCAAGTATCAAACAAATAAATGTAATATTTGCTTATGAAGATATATTTTGTAGATGGTAAAAAGATTGCATAAAGCTTCTGTGGGCTATCCAAGCTGGAAAATACTTAATAATCCAAATTATAAGCCATGGCATTATCCTGAACAAATAATGGCACCTAGAATACGTATCGAAGAAGTAAGGATTATCTTATTTTTGTATGAGTTTTCATAATGTGTATATCGGCTTATTACATGTCTTACTGTATTTTCATGATATTTAGATACATATAATACAATATAATATAATACATATAATATAATACAAGGGTTAAGCCCAAAAGTAAGTTTCCCTATTTTAGAAAAAACAAAGACGAAGATTAAAAAAAAGTTAAAAAATTGTTTTGATTTTTAAATTTTTTTTTCCATTTTTTCCTAAAACTTAGAGAAACTTACTTTTAGACTAATCCTAGTAGATCTTGTACATTCTTTAATTTCTCTAAATAAAATTTTGATTTCATTTCTTTCAGTATTATTAGGTGTTGGAATTAATTCGTAGCGTTTTTAATGAAAGAATGTTATTTATTTCACATGAGCATTAAAAAATACATTAATGAAAGTACTTCCCATCACTTGTAAAACGCTACGAATTAATTCCAACACCTAATATATAGTTAACATGTATCTCTATACATATATGTTTATAGCAATATTTTACTCGGCAATACGGAACAAAGAGATACATATACATATATATAAAAAAATAGACTGTTCTTATTTCGTATTTTTAGTTATCAAATATAATTTTTTTAAAAAATCAATTCCATGATGCAATTTTTGTACGCAAAGTTGATTTTTATAATTGTATGCTATTAATTTGTTTCAGTGTGTAAAATCTGCAGAAGAGAAGAATTCAAAATATAATTATGTAGATGAATCTAATTTAAAGGAAAATTTGGTTAAAGAATCTGCCGCAATGGATAGCGATTAATTCATAACGATACAATAGAGACTTGACAATTTTTAGGTAAGTAGAATAATAGTGACTAGAATAATAAAAAACTAATGAAAAGTTCCAACAGTATTATAATATTAAATGCAGATAAAACATACGGACAATTTGTACATTTATTAAAGTTCGATTTGCATATTTCTTACATGATAAATGATTCTAATTATACACAACGCAACATATAATATTTAATGTATGTGTAGAACATTAAAAGTCACATATTCAGTTGTCACGTGCAAGCGGATGTGACTGCAATATATGTAAACATCAACAAGAAAATATTCGATGGCCTGCTTTGCATTAGGCACTAATTTCTAGCCAGATTTGTTGTTGGTATTGTTAAAACGCGCAAATATATAATAAGATGTCATACAATATGGAAGGTATACTTGAAACTCTTTTTATAATTTATATCAGAGCGTATGCGTGCATATGCATATGCATATACGCGCGCGGTGGTGTGTTAACTATCCGAAGTATCTTCTATATTGTGCACATTGTTATACTAAATCTTAATATATATATATATACTTATATACGAGGTAATTACGACTTTTTGTAGCATCAAAGAATGAAACGAATAGTTCGTAAACATTTTTCACATATATTTTGAGAAATATATGAGAAAATTCAGTTGACGTTTCTATTTCAAAGCGATATAATAAAAGGATATTATTGTCAAAAAGTTTGTTAATAAAAACAGACACATTCTTTTTACATCACACGGATATTTAAATGTTACAATTTTAATTTGTAAAACGAACCAACATTTTTTGAGTTATGACAAGTTTGAATGAATATGTATACATATATATGTGTGTATATGTATGTATGTACATACATATACATGTGATGATTCTTGTTGTTCATTTTAAACAAATGATGAATTGTTCACAATGTTGGTGTTCTCTATTTCTTTTGACAAGTGTCTCATTAGTTGCGTATATGCGAAGAGTACTGTACGAAGATTTGCGTCAAACTTCAACAGCGTATTAAAAGAGGAAAACAAACAAATTTCTGCATTAATGTTTTCATACTTTTCAAAATCAAAAGATTTGGGCAAATCAGATTTAAAAAATGTATGTACATACACAGACTGGAGACTATTATCAACTATACGCTTGTGAAGTTTGACACAATCGTCAGCTTTACGAAATATTTTGTATGATATATACATTTCATGATATAAAATTATAAATGGAAATGTATTGATTTATTAATAAACAAATAATGATGGCCTAGAATGTTTGAATATCATAAGATTGAAACATCGAATCTTAATTTTACATTTCTTTATATGGTTTGCGGAAAATATAAAATAAAATGTAATAAAAATTTATAGAGAGCGTAAGCTTAACCGATTACTTTGTAAGGATCACAATAAAAAGTTTTCAAACTGGCTTTATTTAAATAATTATTACAAAGGGGAGAGTTTATTTATAATCCAGTACAAAATCGATAATACTAAATGACGAAATTACAAGATTGACTTTTTAAATTACAAGAAAGAATTTTGAAAAATGAGTTTGACAATAACAATAATAAAATTTATAATATGTTTGTAATTTTATTATTCAGGTTTTTTTTTGTGCAATTACAGTAAAATGAAACGTACAATATACAGAATCAATTAAAATGCCATCAGAGCATTTCTAGTCTAGATACATTGTAGTCTAGTCTAGATAATTATGCAACAATCTCGCATTATTTATGTTTTCGTAACTACATTCGCGAGCAAAGGAGTTGAATTATTAATTGTTTTTTTTTAATACTTTATATGTTATTATCTTATGTATATTTTACATATTTATAGAGTCTTTCGTTGTATTTTCCTCTTATCGTTTATTACGTTACTTTGAATATGGAATTATGTTTCTCGGCTTGATGTACAGAAATTCACAGCGAAAACGTGTATTTATACAACACCTGAATGCTAATAGAATAGTATATAATCAAGTATATCTGTAGGCCACATAACTGTGCGCTAAATTACTGTACATTGCGTATCGTTTCAATATCATCTGGTGATAATACGTTTCAAAATATTATCGAGTATTACTTATTATACATACATGTATAATAATATTCGGACATATTGGATATTACTCATACTTGGATAAGTTACATAAACAGTTACGATGTAGTATCCTGGGCGCGGGGTATTAAAAATCAGAAGTGAACAGTATTTGAAAGACATGTATTTAAAATACATATTTAAATACATTTTTGTATTTCGTATTTGAATACTTTTTTAAAGAGTATTTTGTATTTTGCATTTAAATACTTTTTTTTTATATTTTGTATTTTAAATTTGTAAATACTACATACATTTAAATTATGTAAAAAATTTTTTTGATTAAAGTTAAAATCGCACCATTGCTGACTTAGTTTAAAGTGCGTTCCATTTCACGCATGATGTGTATCATTTATCCTTGTTTACATTTGGTAAACAACAATCTCTAATATTGTGTCTCAGCCAAGAGTGAAAGTATTTGATATAATATGTATTTAAAATACGTATTTAAATATTTTAATTTTATTGAGAGTATTTTGTATTTTGTATTTGTATATTTTTTTGAAAGTATTTTGTATTTTAATACAACTTTTTTGAGTATTTTGTATTTTGTATTTAAATACAATTTTTTGAGTATTTTGCCCAACCTAGTTAAAAACAATAACAGAATATTATGCTTGGAAGATTTGTATTTGAAATTTAAAAAAGAAAAACAAAAACACTTGATCACTCTCATTGTCGAGAATATGTTTTGTAATGGCAACGAGAAAAGTGCGAAATTAATAATTGTAAGGAATAACATTGGCAAATTTGTAATTTTATATTTAAAATATGAATTTTCGGCCAAGCATGGTCGTGATAGACGGAACGGTGAAAGATCGAGCTAGTCAGATGTCTTATGTATTTTATTTGTAAGGTATATTAGAGGATATACGCGTATGTATATTCTGTAGTATAAGTGGCTAACGCAATATGGAAGTTGCGCCAGTCTTTTTGTATTCGCTTTTACAACCGAGTGCAATAAAGTGCAGTCGAGCGCGGTAAAGCAATCGTACGTTCTACATCTATTCGACTAGGTATATATATCTTCTTTAGCGTATATATCTACGTTTCCATTCGTATCGTATCGATTTTGTGTTGAAATTTATATAGTTTACGTATATGCAGCGTACGCATATCATATATGCGACGATTGGAAAAAGGAATTTTCTTCTATGGCACATAATCGTAAGAAAGGATAAATATGTTCTATGATACGGAATCACATCCGCCATTGCCTGACGACAAAGAGTTTACTATAGAAACATCACATTTTCGTTCAAACAGCAATATCGAACAAACGGTAATATCGCAGAAATCTAATCTAAACATAATTGATGCTAAATGTGACAGTATTGTATTAACATCGATTGACAAATATGAAAATAATCGTTCTGCGTTTAATACAAGCTGCAGTGCAGAAAAAGCGGAAACGGAAGAAGCAGATAACAAGTATGAGAATGATAAGATAATATCAATTATCGATGAAGACACACGAAATAGCTCCAAGGTAAAATTATATATATAAGTATGTATATATAGACCTCTATGAGCTAAATCTATACCTACATATTTCAAAAAATTATTTCTGAATTAGACATACACACACACACACACACACACACACACACACACACACACACACACACACACACACAATATATTACATTTAACAATAAATACATTTACAAGTATCGTGCATGAAAATGTCTTATATTTCCAAGATTACACTACGTAATTTTATAAGGGTTGCTACTGCAGGTTACCATAAATTAAATTCAAGGAAATCAAGGAAATCAAGGGAATAATTAATTGTCAGGGAAATTACATAACGATTGGAGATATCATGGAAAAATCAGGAAATTTTGCAAAATTTGTTGGAAAATTAAAATTTATGGCTTTAAAGAAATTTAACATACGTATGCCTACACAGTTTTGAAATACTACCAACTTAACAATTAAATATGTAAGCAATGTCAACAACATAAATAGTAATTTATTGTACATTATTGTGTTCCAAATTTACTGCCAGCACTGAAAATGCTATAGTTATATTACTTTACGTTTACTATAGATTTTTCAGTACTGGCAGTCAATTTTGGAACACAACCTATATGTTGAATTGACCTAGCTCTCTCTTAAGAAAATATGTAACGATTAATTTTTAAATCAAGATGAAAATACAGAAGATTTCAAAATACAATATTGTATTGACAGCTTCAGAGAAAATTATGAAATTTTATTTGGAAACCAGAGAAAAGTTATATAGAATTTTAGAATGAAGAATTTAATTGTGACAACCCTGTTTATTTCAATCAATAAAATTTTAAATAAATTAGTGATAAATTTCTGTAAACTTACTTAGCAAATATGTACATTGTTAAATTGACTATCTTGTATAGATCGTCCGAAATACATCCGTTTTCTGCATTCGTATATAATTTAGTCTTTTTTAATCAATTTTGCAATTACGACATCATAGGAAGAAAAATCACATAAATGTTGTGGGAACGCCGGCCTCTTCGAGAAAGTGTTTAAACCGATAAAAGGATCATCGGAGGATTTGAAACGATCGAGAAGGAAAAAACGAGCATTTTCATTATTCGATACCATGATCTCTACGAGTATCGTTGCTCCTTTATCGATCGGCTTTTGGAGGGGTGTATGGGCAAGCATGGATCATCGTGCAGAATTGTGAGTAACAAAAGTACTTAACAGAAGAGTTTGTTCTCGCAATTGGAATAATTGCGAGATATGCGCGAGTGAAGCTGAAATATCATTTTCGATGATATGAAGCTAACATATATTGGATCATCTAAAAAGTATCCGCGGTACTTTGTCACTAGATATATGACCATCAACACACATCTAATGACAAAAAACTGCGGATACTTTTTAGATGACCCAATAATAAGCCTATTATAATTAAGTCAAGGCTTTTTTAAACGAGCAATTATAATTATTCATAAAATAAAAATTGTTCTTTAATTAAATAAGTACAATGCTATAAAATTTTCCAAATGTTTCGACTTACAAAGTCTTTCTCAGTGAAATATATAACAGCATTTTTAAATAATCCCTTACAAAGTCAACGAACTTACAATAATACAGTAATAAAAATTATTGCTCTATGTTAATTTTACATAATTATTTCTTCATTTAGATGTTACAGATCGAAATAGGTATCTAGTTAGAAATGTGAAGTCCAAATTATAAAAGAGAGTGTGTTTTACTATTTCTCGATTGTTATCGAGAATCCAGTTTAATCAACGATGTTATAAAAAATATTATAGAGAGAGGGGGAGGGAAGGAGGGAGGGGGAGAGAGAGAGAGAGAGAGAGAGAGAGAGAGAGAGAGACTGGAGGCTACTTGTTGAATTGATAACATCATGAAATTATTAGAACATTAATAGTTTAGTAGTATACATACACGTACACATTGACAGATGTGTACACACACGTACAAATTAACAAATGTAGTTTGTTCTGAAAATTATGATGTAAGTAAAGTATGTAATATCTGTAATGTATGCGTGTATATACAAGATCAAATCTATATTCTACATACCAGAATAATTTTCTATATGCGCAGGTAAAGTTAGTGCCGACTATATATTCTATTTGATATACCTATATGTATATCTATTATATATATCCAAAATATTTGTGAGTAAAACGCGAACTTTTACGAGCGATCTTGCAGCTCGTGAGTATTGAATTTTCGATGCTGTTAGAAATCAAGCCGTCACATTGGATAAAATAACGTAATTGCGTCTGACTCTTATTAGACGAATAAAAAACACATTGATATTGAGCGAGTTCAAGTAGGTAAAGCAGCTAGATCTGCTCGTCGAGCAATTAAATATGATTGATTGAATCCACAGGTAAGAACCAATCAAGCATTCTCATTCCGCATTCTCTTCGCGAGCGTGCAGCCTAGCCGCTTTGCTGGCTTGAACTTGTTTTTTTTTTTATAATGAACGCTCTATATTCGAGCATTGCAGATAAATGTAATCAATGAGTTTTATGCATCAGTTTTATTTTCATTCCATAACGTGACATGATCAAGTTCTAATGGCGGTTCTGATGGCGCTAACGATACCGAAAGTTGTAACTATATAGGTTATTCGCGTCGCATGCTCTAACATGCTTTAAAATGCTCCTACCATAGCATTTACTCATTCTAACGCGCTCGTTGAAGTGAATAGAAGCTGTAGCAAGAGCACATTGGAGCATGCTGGAACATGCGACGCGAACGAACCTTATGAGTTGCGTAGAGTCGAAAGATACAGGAGTGGTTCACTTGCACGCTGTTGCAATTGCCTATTGTCAATTACAATGGTTTCTCTATGGGGAGTTTTTTAATTTTTTTTATTTTTTCTAACATTGTGTCATTGTACACAATTGGCTCGTGTGTAATTACAGACGATATACACCCGAAAGGTACAATGAATTTCTTAAGTTATCAGGTATTTACACCTATAGACAGAGACACATAGCAGAATGGCGTTTTGTATCAAGAATCTATTATGTATTTTTTTTTATCATTTGCAGATGATGAAACGTTAAACATTATCCATTCATGTCCATTACGCTGGCGTGTATTTAGGAAGATTTTGTTAATAGGTTTCCCAGCTGGTTTTGTTTTACGTTCGGCGCAGCTTTGCACGTAGCATACACGGTTTTCAAAGATCGATTTCACGACATTTACATGAAGAAATGGACTAAATTAAATTGGCGAAAACGACTGCCTTATTGGGCTTTACGAATCCTGTATACTTACACCTTTGGAGTGGCGTGCATCGCGCATTGGCGGGGTAGTTGGATCATCATCAATAATCATCTATTTGTGCACACATGGTAACGTTGTGATAATATTTCAGCAACATTTTCCATTTGTCGCTATTAGCGATAACAGCTCTGATATCGAAATAGAGAAAATGGAGATTATTTGGATCGATATAAATAGCAGCAGGCAGTTTATTAATTGTCGTTTTACATTTATTTTCCTATATATATAGGATAACAACGTCTTTGACATGCTCGCTGCTGGTATGTCTGGCGATTCTACGTTCTATTCGAAACTTGATAGCAACTCCATTGATAATTCTCATCGACACGCCTTGTTGCGTTTTTAAATTTCCCACTAGATACAATGTGGTAAGTTATAAACATTGAATAATTTAGTTTAGTTTAATTTCTTGTCCTCGCACACACACACACACACACACACACACACACACACATCTGCGAAGACGTATTTGTGATTTGTGACGTTCAGGGATAAAAAACAGTTATATAAACGTATTTATACAAATAATACGTAATATACTTGTGTGTAAAAAGAGGCCAATATATGTATGATTAAATTATTAATGAGTGCGTGCGTGGTTATTTAGAATTTAAATTATCGGAAATTCTTGTACATATGAATAAACGCTGTTCAATCTTAATTGTTTCCGTCTTCCACAATATAAGATAATCGATGCGAATAATAATGTCGATAAACACGCGAGTGGAATATCGGGTCTCATAGATTCGTGTCGGGAATTTTCTACGATGTTTTCTACAATTGTCGAGCTTTCTTGACGCATTTATTGATTATGAAACTGCACTACTAGACAGCACGAAATATTGAAAGATAACAAAAAGCTGTCTTTTTGAAGTTGTCTTTTCGACAAGATGCAGTACGTCTAAGTTTAAAATATAGCAAAAAGATATCGTTTTTAGATATTCTTTTCGGTAAGACGAAAAGATAATAAAGATCTATAAGACGTCTTTTAGTTCTTGTCGAAAAGATAACTTAAAAAAGACATCTTTTCGTTATTTTTTTATGCCGGTTGCCGTTTCGACAAAACGCGGAAAGTCGACTAAAAGATATTTAATTTCGTATTATCGAAAAGATAATAAAAAGATAGCTCTAAAAGATATAATCGCTTTTCTTTATTTTATATACTTTTCATCACTCACCCGCGAGCAGTAAGCGAGATCGCTAGCAGACGGACGCGATGGAATTCATTTTTCGTGTTTGAAAACCATATAAGATGGAATAAAAGGTGCAGGATTATGAGAAATTTTACCAGTGTTTTAATGAACACTGATAAAATCTTTTTTGAAAGCGAATCCCCAAAAGGAATTATGATGAAAGATAATATGACTCTTGCGCACAGCGACACGGCAAACATTGCAATGGGATATATATTGACATGCAATATTTCATTTAATTCTATGTAAAAACTAATTCAGGGACCTGTTATTAAACCTAATGTTATATGCCAAAATATAAAAATTAAAATACACAAGTCTTAAGGATGGCTAAAAGATATCTTCAGAAGTAATTCTTTAGTTATCATATGAATAAGGCTATAAAAATAATTAACGCGATGCGACGTACATCTGTCTCACTAAAAGATATATCTTTATAACAATTTAGTCATCTTTTAGTCATCTTTTAGTCATCTTTTAGACGACTTTGCTGTGCTGTGGGCTATAATTCGATCTCTATAATGCCCCATGATGATCCAAGGAGTCGATCGAAGGTTTCCGTTTTTATTTCGAATCCCTGGCCTTATTTTCTTATATAATTTCATAGTTTTGATCTCTTACGCCACTGCTTTGACGATTGTTCGCGCATCGTGACAATCGCTTCTTTGATTACCGCCTAAAGAGCCGCCCGACCCTGTACTCAATTGTCAAATGGTGTTTAACGAGTGTACGGAACACAGAGTGGTATATACGTCCCGAGTATCCTCGTACACACTTGTCTAATTTAAATTTTCTAATTTTTATTTATGATTTACATGCAGAAAAACGTGTGTATTTGAGCTCGATCATATTATCGTAAAATTAATTGATTTACACCGTATCGCAAAGATTGTGCTATGTTGTAGCTATTTAACTTATAATCTATGTAAACAATAATTGTTTAAATTTGAAAGCGAAGTCTCTCTCTCTCTCTCTCTCTCTCTCTCTCTCTCTCGTACGTTTCGATGTAAACATATATACATAACCGACATAACGTATGAAAGTAACAACAGAATTGCTAGTTTGTTTTCTGCAGGTTGTAAAAAAAGAATTCTTTTTCAAACGTTATCACAAGAGTCGTCTCGAGTGAAGCTGATGAAGATTTAGTTGTTTCCAACAGAGCGCGTTATCGAATGTTTGCGTCAGGTTTGATGTAGATAGATATCGTATTAGATAAAGACTGATAAATAATTATAGTTCATTTAATCATCGCGCACACGAATTATTGCGCAAATATATAAACATATATATTTCACATGCACGTTTTTCTTACTTTTGTTTTTTGTTCCTCAACAAGGACCTTCCTGATCTCTCTTCTTTTTTCAAATCTTTGAATGATTTCTCCAATATTATGCGCGTAAAATTTGTCGATTGAAAATGTGGAAATGATAAGGAGAAAGCAAACAAACGAGCGTAGAGCCGAGTACAGCCGAGAGCTCTTGCAATTTTATAAAAACAGAAAAATCACACGACGATGTCTTCATTATGTTGATTTTCCCCGGAAGTTTACGAAACGCGTTCTTACCGATTATCATGCATTGATAATAGAGATACGCAGGCGCTGCGATTGCAAACTAACATTACTTATCTGCAAAGAAACGTTATCAGGTTTTTCGATCATATTTGACACAATTTATCGATCGTTTATATTATATTTAACGATCGTATTGCGTTTGACATGAGTAGTGATTTTATCTGCGAAATTTGACATGACTATTTCTTCTCAAGTCAGAAATTTCCAATGACGAGTTACGTATAGCATCATTGTTAAATATAGCAATGAAAGAAAAATGTAATCTGTTTTCAAATATTATTTATAAATCAGCAGAGAAAGAGAGAGAGAGAGAGAGAGAGAGAGAGAGAGAGAGAGAGAGAGAGGAAAAATTATTAAAATTTCATATAGTTGTTTCTAAACGATGTCTCAAACAAATATAAGCAATACTATACTATACCGATTCAGCTTCATTATTAACAAGTACCTACCATTTGTATTATTAATTCATTGAGATTACTTCTTTATCTTTGACATGTTTTATTAATATCTAATTTAAATTCAAATGTGCATATATGTGCGTATACGTGTGTGTGTACATAACTTTATATGTATAATAGTTTTTCCTACGATATAACACGATATTTTTTAAGAAATATAAATGTCACAGCGTTTAATATAATATTCAATAAATAATAATTTTTTAACTGAATTATTGTTAATCCTCGGTTACTATATACGGAGGTATGATATACTCAGAACATTTGAAAATTGTGCAACATTTGTAGAAAACGGTAAATGAGGTACTGGGTGTAGAAGAAAAAGCTTAAGTGATCAACACGTATATTTTTTCCTAGCGTCATTAGTTGTGTATGAAAAAGCAATAGCAGTCGTGCTTTTTTTATAAAATAAAAATCGTGCAATTTTATTTGTCAAAATAAATGCATGTACTTGTACGAGAATTAATATTTTGACACATGCTTTTAATTTAATTAAAATATACACTTTCAACAGTTCATTCCTTTAATTTCCTTATTTTTATTTTTGTATTAAGTACGATTATAATAATTTTTTGGAAAAAAAAAACATTTTTCGTGATAATTTGAAAAATTGACTTTTGTTCAATAAATATTTTTTGTAATTTACAATTTTCTAGTTGCAGTTCTACTTATACGCCCTTATTTAGGTCCTCCACAAAATGAAGATTTTACACATTTACTTTAATCAGTGGATCTTATCGAAAATTAGAGACACTTGACATTGACGGGGTGTACTGTACGCTCCCGTGCGATAACGACGGAAGTAAAAATATATGCGGTAATTGCGAGGGTTAAAAACTTTCCATATTATAATACATCTTAGAATGTTGTAGCTAATTCAATTGATTATTTTTATAGTACATATTTAGACATAAATATACGTCAGAGTCAATTAATTATATGGATTCAATATGGATTAATTAATTTGAGTTTTTTTTCTATCAAAATCGATACGTGTGTATCGCGCTATGGTTGCGAATAATTTCAGATAAGTTTATGGAGTAAACATTCGAGAATTAATATTTTCAATATTTTCCGTATGACATTTTCGACATGGTAATGGATCTTGTGACCCTGACGAGGCTTGCTGGGACGAATCAAGAGTTTCACGAAGGTGAGATGTTGTAACCCAAGCTTGATTGATACACAAAAAAGAGTTGATTAGCGACGATTTTGGCTAAAGCGTCAATGACTAAAGGAATATACGTCAATGGATAAGTGAATACGAGGCCGGAAACATTGCTCAGAAAAAAATAATATCAAGGTGACTATTAAAGGTAAAAATTATGCTATTGTAATTGAAATATTCTTCTCTATCGGAATAAAATCAACAAGACTATTCTTGAAATTTAATCATTGCATTTTTCTATTGGTTGATTACATTTGATATTGAGGATTTAATTTCAAATGTTTCTTTTTTAAAAAAATACTTATTTTACTTTTGTCACGTTTGAGTATCTAAATATTTTTATTTTTTCTTCCAGATTTTTCTAGCCGCTTTTAATAGCAATAAAAAATTTTAACAAGTTTCTTCATTGAAATACCTACTCAAGGAATGACGACACTTTCTCAACCCTTTTACAATAGAATATCTAAAATAAAAAATGACGGAGAAAAATTGATTCGCTAGCATTGGAAGATGAGAAAGACATAAGTGATCGTGTGTGGATGCGACGCGACGATTCAGTCAGTTCGAAGATCACCGAATAGTCTTGGAATATTATCACGCGGGAACACGCATGGCTGTCATCGGTTGCCACCGATTGTTCTAATCGGTGATAGCACCGCAATACACGATGAAACGAGGCGATTATAACGCATATGCATCGTAGGTGGGGGATCGTCAGTGTAGGAGAGAATGAGGGAGGAAAAGAGAGCATACCGCGGGTACTATCCTCCGTACTATACGCCGTATGGTCCGTATTCCGTCGCGTCAGCGACGATGCTTCAACGTTGTTCGCGCTAATATGCGATAGTGTTGGCCCGCGCGTTTAGCGGTTAGCGATCTTGATAAAAGATAGCTGTTGTACCGAAGATAAGCCAGTAGTCATCCTGACCGTTGCCTGGGCTGATCGGCCTGGTCGGCTGTACGATCCGATCGGTCGCCGATTCCTTGATCGAGTTCGTCGGCCCTAAGCGCCTAAGCGCCTATAAGCGCTTGAAAAAGAGAGAGAGAGAGAGAGAGAGAGAGAGAGAGAGAGAGAGACAACCTTTGAGGTGGATATCGATGCGAATAACTTTCGTATATTATCTTTCATTTTTTTCCAAAATTTTCTCTCTCGAATCCTCGAAAAAGCGATTATCCTCTGTCCGACGAGTGCCTACAAGAATCAAATCGTGTCATAACGGATTTATATTCGAGGAGAAACATATTTCATAGCAAATTCACCACTAGAAGAAGCTTCAATGAGAGTCGTTGAGCGAATTTATGCTTTCTCAGAGCGCTAAAAAAGTTGACTCAAACTCTGATGAAGGAATACGGTAAAAGAAGGCATGTCACCGTCCTTTCTAGATAGAAGACTCGTTTGCAATGTCACGACGACGACGGCGACGACGACGATGACGACGGCGACGACGATGGCGACGGCGACGATGACGACGACAACGATCGACGACGACGACGACGACGACGACGACGACGACGACAACGCAAGCTAGTCTTAATGAATAAGAACCGCCGCATCAAACGAAAATTGAATCGAATGTTATGGTACGAGAATATATATCAGGAACAAAATATGTGGTAGCATCTAGATGAGTTGGCGTTCGTTTTTCAAAGTTGACTCCTTTCTTAATTTCATTTCTTTCTCTCATCTATAAACTACACGATAGTATATATAATTTCGAGGATGCAAACGATGCGTAATGACGAGCGGCGTGACTACTAAGTTTGATCCGGATTGGGTAAGGATGGTGGAGTTGCGTGCGGCTGGTGCCAGGATGACTGGAAGTCTAGACACCAGATCGTCAAATCGTCTGCATTATGCCATCTTGACCATCCTGGATACGATATTCTCCGCGCTCGTAGCCGCGCCGGCGGTGGTTGGTTACTGGCGCGGCACTTGGGAACTCAGCGATTTCTATGTCTATCCGGACGAGCCAGTGTTGAGCAGCTTCGCGTCGATCACGATCGGCTTCACCGGTCTCTTTGTCTTCAGTGTGCTGCAACATGGCTTGGATGACATTCTGCATCCAGATAAGCACCGGCTGTCCTACTATCTCGGCTCACGAGTCTACACCGGCGTGTTTGGCTTTTGCTGCGTGAACGCTTGGCGCGGTGCCTGGAATGCCCTGGACATTTATACGGAGCTGATGCCCGGCACAGTCTTTGCCATAACTATCGTTAGTCTCCTCGCGCTCGGCATCATGCGCGCAGTTCGTAATGTATCCGCGCCGCCGTTTTCCCTCGTTCTTGATTCGTGTCCGGGTTACTTTGAAGTGCAGACTATGTTTCGCGTCAACGTAAGTATTTGACAATGATCTGTTTCTCCGAAGGATGCTCTCTTGAATGCCGGGAGCATCTCTTTAATCACGTCGCACAAGGCGATGATTTTATTCTCCTTATGAGATTGATTCATGATTTTTCTTCAATCTCTTCTCCTTTTCAAATTTAAATTTCAAGAAGACTGTTTCACATTCGCGCTTGTGTAAAATTACACTCGCAACCGTGTAATCCAATTGTGAATAAATGTTACGTTGAGAGAGAGAGAGGGGGGAGGGAGGGAGGGAGAGGGAGAGAGACAGAGAGAAAATTTGAATTCTAATTTGAAAAAAAAACACAAATTGCAATATAGATCGCCGATCGATTTCAACGATCGATTCATCTATCTAATCATAAATATCTATCTAATCATAATAGAGTTAAAATTATAGAAATTGCATCTTATATAGCAAATGGAAGTTAGTTGGATTTATATAGTTTGCGATGGAGAACTTTTATGTGCAATCGATTAATCTTGAGGAATCAAGGATTGCTTATCGAAAATTTGTAGTATAATAGTAATAAGATAAGAAAATTTAAGAAATATTGGATACTAATGATATATTAATGACAGAATATTGTCCATATGCTATCTACCCCTTTCACGTACATTTCGGTGAGTCGAAGATACGTATATTGGAGGAAAACAAATATATGTATGTATATGCTATTAAATATTTTTCATTTTCTTGCTTCTTCTCTTCTCAGTGAATATGGGTAACATTAAAGGTAATTTGATTGGTTTTCGAGATATATATACATATGTATAAAAGAGTGTTTTGTACCATGTAAGAGCGTGTTATGTGAATGATAGTAGCATTTAAATACGAAATGAAAATTGTTTTGAAAAACGAATAAATTTATAAACTTTCAGTAATGATTAAATCACATTTCAAGAATTGTTTGGTGGTTTGTAATTATATTCGGTTTCATAGTCACGAATACAAGAGTCATGCATATATTTTGTGCGATAATTAGAAAAAAAAATAAGACAGATAATAGGAACTTGAGAAAATGATGTAAAAAGTGTTTGCCAATTTTCTTAAGCTCAAGTAACACACAATGTATTTACGTGTATATACATATATACAGCTTAATTTGTCTCAAGTTTTTTTCATAGACAAAAATGTTTTAATTTGCAGAAAGAAAGTAGGATATGAAAGAAGATGGCGAAAAGGGGCCAATAGCGCTGCCAATAATCCGGATTCATGATTTACGTTAAGTCAGCATTACTTGGACGCGCGCCAAGACAATTCTCTCTCGACTTTACATTTATCAGGACCCTTTTATTTGTTATGTATATTCACTGTGCACCGTGCGCTATCAATTATGCTGTTGATATTTTGTCGTAGATCGTAAATTATAAATGATAACTTGTAAATCATGATTACATGAATTGCATGTTACCTCATTTACACGCGTCGTCCAAGCTCACGTGTTATCGGTGTGCATATAAGCGCAGTTTCCGGCCAAGTCCCCCGACTGTCAACCACTATTGCGCCTGTATAGTCTACGTATACGTGCTAAGCATTAACGCAACGTGTGCAAGTGCGCTAATTTATTTGTCGTTTGTAATCACATTGAAATCATGACTATGGTCTCATCTTTCCTTTATTATCGCTCCAAAATAATTGTCAATTGTAATTATAAATGTAAAAAATGTTGCAAGAAAAGAATGTTACGCGACACACTTTTAGTTATACCTTCGGGAAACATCGGTACAATTGTCATTGTCATTGTCATTGCGTGATGCATACGAAAATCATAGTTGTACAATTCGATTTGTTTTTTCTCTACCACCACATCAGCATATATATTGTTGTTTGTGATAGAAATGTGATTTCACATGAAATACGACATGCATATTTAAGGTCGCTCTCTATCTCTCTTTCCTTCTGAAATCGATCTCTACATATTTCCATCTCTCTCTCTCTCTCTCTCTCTCTCTCTCTCTCTCTCTCAACATATTAATAACACAATATTGTCATCTTTGAAGTGGGATGATGACAAGTCTAATCGATAAAAATCGATTGAAAGCTTATATTTTAGTAATTACATGTACATTTTGCACATCACTTCTTTTTTGTTCACAAATCTGCAGTAAATACCATTTATTGTATGTGTCGTGTTAACGACGGAAGAAAATAATTTGAGATAAGATAAAGATTATTTTTGTATTGACATTTTATGTATCATTATACCATTAATACATTATCATGATGATACCACGGAATTGCAGTGCATAATTGCTATTTTATCATACATTTAATGACTCTCTTTTACTCTCTTATTCTTATTCTAATATTACTATACTACTTAACAATTTATAATGTTAATATTGCAATCTATTGCGTGCGGTTATAGAATACGAGGGACTGGTCGTTGTACTTACTGGATTGCGCCTTTAGCGTTGGTGTCGTGGGTACGTTGGTTGTCTTCGTCTGGAGAGGAGTTTGGATTTTGATCGACATTTACCTATTTCCAGAAAACCCCGAGTATTCTGCCCTTGGCTCACTGGTAAATATATATATACATATATACATATATATAATAAACCTTTTATATATCGACAATCGAAGTCCTTTAACTCCCCTCTGAAGATTATCCCTGATCCTATCATTTTGCAATTGCACTATACGCATGTAACTATTGTATTATATGTATAATTACTATCATATTATATTACTTGACATATATGAAGAATAGTGCTAGTTCACGCCAATCTACGCGCGTGTGCTTGTTTCTTCAAATAAAAAGAGAGTATTGGATATAATTAAAATTTCATGTTTTATTTGTTTTTATCTTTATTCCAGAGTCCTGTCAAATACATATACATCGCACATACTTTTCGTATCGAGCCATCTATATTGTGGTAGAATTAGACAAGGTGTTGCGCATGATATAATGACACTCCGACCAATCAAAAATCGGCTTTATGGATTTTATAATATTTAAGACCGTCAGTACAGTCATCATGAACCAATCAGAGAGTCGTTATTAGCTTGTCTTAAGACATTACTTAAGACGCGCGGTCTTAAAGTAACAACGGCTAAGTGACCCCAAATGATCGACATTACTGCATGGTCGCATAAAAATTTCCGAATTGACTGAACGGAATAAAAAATTCTCTTATAGGATCAAAGTAGAAGGAGTAGTGCAAAATTAGGCGGTGTGAATAGTAGACTTTATATTAAAAACGAAAAAAAAGTATGTTTTTTAAGTTTTTTTCGATTTTAATATAAGCAAGTCCATTGCACTACCTCCTAATTCTACTTTAATCCTGTAAAAGGATATCTGATTCTGTTCAATCAATTC